AGCTCAGACTCTGGCACAGGATCGGGAACGTTGGAAGCACTGTCTGGCGCGTCTGCCTTTGCGACCCGAAAGGAGAAGCGGCGATGGAAGATGAAGATGAAGTATATTCTGTCGTACCATTATCTTGCTTACACTTTCTGCATGTTCCACTCGTTTTTGTTTCGCACTTATTTTCTTGATTGATTATTTATTGCAACTACCAATCAATTCAGCGTAGTCCGAACTACGTGTTTTTCATCGTATGCTGTTTTTTGAGTCTTACATTTTGTCATTTGCAATATTTTCTGTCTTGTACTCCTTTCTTTTTCGACTTGAAAGCCGCAAGTGCAGTTACAAAATGTGTTGACTTCATTTTTCCTGCCATTCTCTACGCAACTTCTAATTTCAATCTGTAGTGTGCAACACATGCCTATAGGCTGTTTCTTTACCTTGTCTGTTTACGATTCAATGTTTGTTTTCCTTCGTTTCATATTTGTTTTTTTCCATACTGCCGTTGATACCGCAGTGCTGTTCCTCGACCCTTCTGTTTATCGCTACTAGATGGTCTTCTGCCGCGTAGCATGTTTCTTGTCGGATTTTAGCTTTTCTTGTTTGTATTCAACTAAAATCACGTTCATTTGTTCCTTGTTTGCTGCGGATATCATTTTATCAAGAATTTTTCAATCATGTTGTTCTTCATTGCATCCACTTTCACACCTTTATTAATATTATGCTAGGTCAATGTACTTGCTATCTTTTGTTTTGATTCTTCATTGCATTTTTCCTGCATGTTTGCCCTATGAAAGATTGTCCATGTTTATTAATATACCACAGTCCTTTGTCGAATTTCATGTTGCTCACCAACTTTCCGCAAGACTGCATAATGGTCGATATTTGTTCTTTCTACTTTTCCATTAGCTGTTTCATTGTTTAAATCTCGTTTAAATACCCTCTGCTTCTCCTGAATTAGGACTACAGTTTGCCAAACTTCCGCAGGTGTTGTCTAATCCTGCTCGCCATAACACACATGAACGGACAGTGTAACTCAATTCAAAGAATTTATTCGGAGCCATACAGCAACCTTTCTTAAATACTGGAAACAGAGTATCTTTCGCCTCATTGGAAATTTCTTCCGTCTGCCGTAGCAATCCGAAGAGATTCACGAATGTCAGCACTCCATCACTCCCTACTTAACTCTGGTTATAATTCACCAATTTCTACAACTGTGCCAATTTTCTGTTTGTTTACGGCTTCGCTTCTTCAGCGGTCGTCGGTCCAGTATCTGCATACATCTTTTGATCAGGAACGATCATCATCCATTGAATCTTGTTTCAGAGTCGCATAAAGGTTAATTAATGGTTCGAAATGTTTCCTCCATATGTGAACGATTTAGTCCGATGATATTTCATATTGCCGTTCCATTTCAGGACGGATGTTGATCATTGCATGTTTCTGTTGAAGTGGCAATGGACTTTTCTGATAAAGATACTCATGTCGTTTGTGCAAGTCGCATTTTGCATTATTTCATCCTGTCTTTCTAGTGACGTGCCTTGCGTTTCCCCGTAATGATTTGTCATTTTTTCTGTGCTTCTCTTCTAGACCTTTGATAATTGTCAATTTTGGCAAGTCTACTCTTTTCTAGCAGCCGCTTAGTTTCTAATCTTATCTGCGGTTTCATTCGTTTTTTCGTCTCTATTGGTCCTCTGAAGTTGCTACTACTGCTTCGTTTCATGTGTTTCAAGCTTTCAGTAGTAATAATCAAACAGTACCCTGAATTTTCCACAAATCGTGATTTCACATGCTTATGATACTTTTGGACATTAAGCTTGACGATTTCAAACTTTTCAGTAGATTGTTCGCTGGTAATCAAGGACGGAAAATGACTTTAACTTTGGCCATCACCAACTGATGGCCGCTGACGTTTTCGGCACTTCTTTACATCCTGATATATTTTAGGTATGCTCGATCACGTTTAGTGATGATAACATCTTCAATCTGGCATTCTGTTGAAGCATAAGTAGAGTATCATGCGATCTCATGCGCTTTACCGTTGTCATTCATCTCACATATGTCGCGTGATCTAAGGCAACGACAGAACTCATTCTGTGTTTGCCGTTTCGCACTGAAAGGTATTCGCGTAAAGCAGAATAATCAAAATATCACGAACTCAATACCGTTGCAGCAATAAACTCAGCATACCATAAAATTCCTCCTTCTCCGTCCTCTGCAGCAGCTTCAACAGGGGTAGTCGACTGTCGCGATTCCGATTCATACGTACCTGGACTTGAATCAATCTGTAACGATTCTGTCAGATTCTTCATTTGAATAAATGAAAGTTCGTTTTCGCTTTTTGCTGACTACCCGTTCAAAATGGCATCTTTAAGCAGCGCTTTCTGTTACATGCCCTGAGCAATGTAAACTATAGTTTCCATCCGTCAAACCTGTTCCAAAGCATTGTTGCTCTTGGAGTGCAGCTGCATGTATTCGGATCAGATTTAGCTCTTCTTCGCTCTCGTATATTGTTCTGTTTAATGCTCCTGTGCTCTACGTGGCAACTCTCATTTGGCATTTGGAACTGCATGATATTGATCAGCGTTCGGCAGTTTTTCAAATCCATGCTCATACGCATTAGATGTAGATTTACGGATCCCTTAGCAATAAAATCCGGTAGAGGTGACAAACTCTGTGGGTTACTGTAATCAAAAATGAATCTACTAAGTGGATGATTGGTCAAATTAGAGCCTTTTTACCCGCCCATTTCAGGCTTTATGGCAGGTCTTCACGGCAGCCGTAGCGTCTGAAAAGAACGCATTCCACCGTATATCAATCCGCAAAGAAATCTTTTAAGTAGTACGTTGCTCGCTCCCCACAACTGGGGCGGGATTTTTGACTTCGAGGAAAATTTTAACCTACGTTTACTAAATATCTTATATGAATTTTACTTTAAATCAGCTCCTTGAGGCTATGTAATCTACCTCTGGGCGGGCAACTGTATGATGCAATGCAAAGTAACACTTTCAAACATCTGAATTCATGTTGCATTGCGTTTAAGGACCCTTCTCTATACCGGTTAATGCTATTTCTTTCGTTGCGACTACCGAAGTACTGCCACTTCAAATGCCCTCCTTTGCATGAAATGTATAAATCCGTTTCGCCAATTGCCTGTAGTCCTTTATACCATACTTTTATCACCTAATGAATCATCTTCTTCATGAATCGTCGACAGATTCTAACGAGTTCCATCCGAATTTAGTTCTACCGCTAAACTAAATGTTTCCTTGTCCACCTGTTTTGTAGTTCTCCATTTCCAAGTCACGTTGTTCTTTCAATGCAAACTAATACCTACACATTGATACCAGCTATGTTGCAGAAAAGCGCAATAAGTTTCACACCTAAAAACAACATATATAATTGCTAGTACACACTGCCCCATCATTTAGATCATCCGCGAATGTCGAACATTTGGAGCTTTGAGACGAGCCTTCGGTTCATACTGCCGGTTAAGCAGCTTTTCGGTAACAGGCGCCACGAGACTTACCCATCGGCGGACAGTTTGTACCCTTTATCACTATTGACATACTCGCCGTACCAGATGATTGATACATTCTTGAATAGCCTGTTCAGCCAATGTCTTTCTTGGATGATATCGGTGAACTCTGACTACATATTCCATCTTCAAATAACTGTCATAACAACGGAAATTAATATAGAATTGCGAAAATTTATTGAACTGCAGTATCAGTATGGAAGCCAATAGTAAAATCATAAAAATGCTAAACAATAAATCTAACAATTTGATGTCTCTAAGACTGTCCTATGTATCTGCCGATAAACAGTATATTTTTGTATCGATTGTCGATGATAATGAACATGAAAGGATGATCCGCAGTAAAAACGACAGGTTCCCTTTCAATCAGCGCGGACATGGCAACCATTTCGAAGCCTGTGACTGCTGCTGCCTTGGTTCCCATCTCGTCTACCTGTAAATTTAATTTACAGAATACGCATGTTCCATTTGGCGATACCTCAATGGACGTCTTGTGCTTCGCTTCTGACACGTAAAGCTCACGCGATTCAGTGATGCCTGACAGATCTGCTTCGAGAGTAAATATATCGGTTATGCCCATTGTCATTAACACGTCCTTCAGCCTCACGTCAGACTCAAGCTTGAATTTTGGTACTTTAACCTAAACGACTCTTTCTTCCACAAAGTACATATACGGCAATTAGGCTTACCAAAACTTCAATTCTATGCACGCTGTTCATTAGACTTTTCAGCTTGTTTGCAGTAAGGCTCTGTTCCAAGTTCTCCAAGCCAAACTTCTCTTTTGGTAAAAAAATATTCATGGAGATAACACTGTTTAGGTACTTTAGCACCAACACTTGGAATTCGTCATTTTCTGCGTAAAGGAAATAGTCCTTTTGGAACATCATGTCCACTTCGCAATTTTTACTCGACGATACATAGAACTTCATCTTTGTTGTTTCTTCAGGTGAAAAAACCTTCAACCACTGACTTTGAAAATAAATAGCATTTAGGACCACCAGCCGAGTCAACGGATTAATTGATTCCGCTGAAATTATCTCTTTAATTTTATTATGAGTGCTGTCAGCAACCCATTTATTGATTTGTCCAACTGTTGATTCTACGTTTGAGAAATTTACGGGTACTATGGAGGCGTGGAGGTCTTTTTGAATTGTGTTGCTATACGATTTCGATATCTTGAAATTCTCGGCGCTGTATACTCTGTTAGCGACGTCAAGGACGAACGACTTGTCTTTCTTATTTATTTCGAACACCAATTTTGCAAGGTAGGGCTGAATCTGGTCTTCCATCAACGATGAACCGAACAGCGCTTGACGAATCTGGGTCTTGGTTTTTCCGGCAGCTCCGTAGAAGACCATCGCCAATGCCAGCATCACTGAGGTTGGAGAGACGCATAAGGATTCGCTTGAAGCTGCCGAGTTTCGATACAAGCTGATTGCAAAATCGTTCAGCACTTCTGCTGAAACTGTGGCACTTTCCTCCATTTCCTAAAATGGAATACAGCATCATTAGGACAGCTAGGTGTTGCACATTAGTCATCATACACAGTACTACCGTCTTAGTTGTACTTTTGGCCACAGTAACAAGAATGTCACTGGACTATTAAGAAGTGTGTCACACGGTGCTAAAAGGAGTTTAGGAGTTCTTGACACTATATAATGACTCTTAGTGCCAACCGCACGTCATAGCAACGGTCTGATAATCATGTTTCGTCAGTGCTGACATTTTCGAGCAGTAG